TTAGCGACAAGGTGTACCAAGGTGTGTTACAGGTGGGTTTAAACAGCTGGGGAAAAAGCTAGTTTACTCTCGACGGTGAAGCAACAGGTGACCCAGTGGGGAAACACGCCTCCTCCTCCTCCTCTCCTCCTCCTCTTCCTTCTTCCTATCCTCCTGTCACCCCGACATCTGGTACCTAGTCATGTCTCTTTCTAGAATTTAGATTCTCAAAGCTCCTTATATTTTGTTTCGTTATAACATCAGCTCTGTGCCGCTTGTCTCCCGATTCATTCTGATTCACTCACGGACTCTGATTCATTCACTCACTCTGATTCACCGCCTAATTCATCCACTCACTCAATCTGATTCACCCACCTACACCCTCCCTACACCCACCTACACCCTCCCTACACCCATCTATATCTAAGGAAGTGATGTTACGTGTAAAGTATTTCAACATCACATTCATCATAAATTTTAATGGTCAACTTTTGTCTGTGGTCTACCTTACGATATCTAATTTGCTGGGTGAAATAATGCATTATACATCAATATTACCTATCTGGGGGAATTTAGTTCTTTAAATCCAAATATTGTAGTTATGGGTCACAGCTCAAGGTTGAAGATGCCACAAGTCCAGAAAACTGTGAGGGCAGACTTTTTCGGAGTAAGAATTGTGAACTTTTACTTTTAATTCTCTTCACCACTAATCGGTTCGTTAGCCGCTTGGAGCAGGTTCAGATACATTCAGGAGCCAGTGCATGCCCAGTACTTTTCAACAGTGTAAACAAAGACGTGATCGACAGCCCAAGCGGCGATGAGGATAGAAGTAAAAAAAAGTAAAGTAAAAAGTATGTACTGGTGTGGTGCGGGTTACAGTACGCGCTTGTATACATTTCGGGCATAACAAATATCCCCCTGAATTATTAGTCGTTATTCTAGTGTTAATAAACTTAGTTCACATACTTACAAACTTTTATTGTTGACACAGACGAACATTTAGTCATTGTCTGGCGTAAAAAAAAAAGCACAAGACAATATTTTCCACGTGTTTCCCCTGCAGTGTGTTAAAGAAAACGGTATTCATCGTGCTTAAGAGAAAATGTACTAGATGTGAGTGTAGAACTGAGGTAAAGTGGAGAGAAGAATGAAAATGGAAATAAAAAACCCGAATGAGATGGTAGAGAAAAAAATAAAAGATATGAAGTTGGAAGAGAAGATATGGAAAAATTTCAACTATACTGACATTTTGTACAGTACCTGGTTATGAATATATCATTAATTATACAGGTGGATGTTAGGTATTTAACTTTCTTTTCGTCTTTATTTTCTTTTTCATCAACTTTCTGCTATTATTGTATATCTACCCCCCTTCTTCATGTCTCTGCCTGCTCTCACACACACAGTTACGCCAGGGTCATACTGCATAACCCTGGTGGCTCCTTACATTAAGTCAATTGCCACACAACTGTTTTGTTCAATTATCTTGTCAATGAGTTTTAATTACCGCCTTAATTCACGTTATAATGAGCATTTTAACAAGACCTTGTAAGTTGTAAGTAAATAAAAATTAATTTTAATTTCTCATATAAAATTTATATACGGTTTAGTTAGTAAGTAGTAGGCAGCTATCAAACAGGGAGGTACTACCGCCCGGAAGATGTTGGAAGCATAATGTGTTGTCTAATGGTAGACCCTGCTGCCATATGTGACCAAGTCCCAGGTTGATGATCTGACTTTCTGCCTCATTTACACACAATTGCAGGGTCTCAATTGTTTCTCTTACTTTGACAACACAACATACATATATTGTTTCTCACTATTGATCTTTTTTTTAAATGTTGATATTTATTTATGATCCATTATTATTATTATTATTATTATTATTATTATTATTATTATTATTATTATTATTATTATTATTTTCGCCCCCAGGCACTGATGTGGGTCATTGACCTTGGTTTAAGCCTGTCAGATATTCCTCAATTACTGATTTTTTTCATATTTCAAAGTAATCTTCTTAACAGTTGTCTTCTTCTTAATTCATTTTGAGGCGAAATTCACGATATAACGTTGGTGGTGATGGTAGTCGTGTCTCCTCGTTGTTCACCTGCTCGGGGGCATTGACACTTCATTTGGGCGAGAAAAAGATTCTTCAATTTGGCGTCAAATAAAACCTCATTTGGACGCTGAATTAGGCAAACCATGCACTTCATTTGGGCGAAAATGACTAACCGAAACAGTGTTAATTTTTGGGTTAATGAATAGTTAACATAACACATATTTGCTAACACTGAAACATGAATATCATTACTTTCAGGTAAATAAATGGCCAACATAGCACAAGAATATATACGATATATAAAAATCTGACCTGTTATTTACATTTTTATTCAAATAATCTGTTTACATATCGGTTTTGGGTTGAAATTTGCAAACCAACTGCTCGAATATACTGGGTCCGGGAAATGTCCTTATTTTCATATTTGTGGAACTGTTCAAGTATAAAGTTCATCTTTTGTCTTTCTTAGCGTCTGACAGGTGCAGGACCATTCATTCCCCTGATTTTGATGTAAGTGAAGGTTTGTAATTTCTACAGAACATCGAGGAAGATAAACAGTGAGGGATGTGGGACCCAAATGAGATGCGCCCACATGCTCAACTGATAATCGTATACAACAAAAACAATATGCCATGCCAAACATCACCTCCATATAAATCCTTAGTGAGAAAGACCAAGTTTGTGTGTGTTTGTAGTCATCTGAAGGTACAGTTTATGGAGAATAATATTTCGGCCTGGAGGAAGTGTAATCTGCGTCTGTCTCATAATTAAACTTAAAAAAAAAATCACCTTATACAATTTTTTCCATTTTTTCCTTTTTATCCTGTATGTTAATGTATAATATAAAACTTCACTTTAATTAAAAAAAAAACTACTTGCGCCCCACAACTTGGTATGCTTAGTGAATTGATTATCGGCGTCGCGGATCAATGTGAACGCTAAGATTCACATTGTATATTACGTGTGTTACTTGATGGTATGAATAAGAGTTTGTAATTATCTCTAATGTGGGTGGAGTTTGAGGATATGAGCAAGTGCGTGTGGATATGAACAAATGCGTGTGGATATGACAAGTGCGTGTGGATATGACAAGTGCGTGTGGATATGAACAAGTGCGTGTAAATAATTATATTTTTATATTGCGTGTGTGTGTGTAATTTGAGGAGAAGAAGAAGAATGTTAAGCTGAGAGTAGACGAAGCTTTATACAGTAGACGAGTAGAGCTTTATACAGTAGACGAGTAAAAGCTTCATTGAGTAGATGAATAAAGCGGTGCTACTTTACTATCCGGTCTACCAAGCTGAAGTTGTCTACCTAGATATTTACACTAGGTTAGGTTAAGATAGATTAAGTCAGGTTAGGTTAAGCTGGGTTAAGTTAATAGACGCTACAGTGTAAATATCCCGGTAGACCATCTCGGTAGACAGCATACTATAGTAGCATTAACAAAGTTTTATCCCCAGGCAAAATGAAGTTTGTATCAGGAAGAATGTAAAAAAATGTGCCATAATTCGTATTTTTTGATGGATTATATTTAATTATTAACTTACGTTTTAAAGAACTTAGTGGTTGAAGTGTAGTATAATTACATTCTAGTGTCCACGAGGCTTCTTTTATCATTTTAATACTTCTAGTCATAATATTTCTTCATTAGTCAACACCAGATTAGTGAAAGTGAATTTTGTACCTCAAAGAATCTCATCAGAAGTAAAGGACATACATTTAACTTAATAAAGACTAGTTATATCAATTTAATGCTAGGACAGACGAACAACATCCATGACTTGTATTGACTATATGAGTGAAAACGTAACTAACATTGCCTTTAGAAATTCCTTTAAGAACCTAAATCAACAGACAAGACGCTAACTATATTATTGTGAAGAATATATGTTCTTTGCAGTGATCAAAACTATTTATCCTTCATGCTCTAAACTATAAATTCAGATTCTCAAAGGTTTGTATGTAAACTTTTTCCCGTAACTGGTGGTATCACAAAGTATCTAACTGGTTTATTTACTTAATACTTAATATATACAATTAAATATAACCAGAAAGTATGAGATTCTACTTTAACCAGATTCTTTCTCTTAACACCAGCTAAGGCATTAAAGAATACATCTCTTAAAATACTAAAATAATAAACGTAACAATAATGATATTTAAATTACGTTGATTCTACCTTTATTTGTTAACGGCGGTATTTAATTTTTCATTTATTTGTATTATTTTTTAATTACCAGTAACCAGTTAACTAAGATTAATCAAAGTTGGACTAAGTATCTCTGAAAAGGTCACATTAGATACTATATTTTCTCCCCCATTAAGGAGCTACCGAAAATACCATTCGGGTATAGAGTAACGAGCTATTTGAGGTCATTGTTAACATTATTTAACGTGTCTTGGTAACTATTGTAGGCGACAAAGGTACACTAACCCGGTATCTACTTCAACTCCTTCACTACGGGGACACCATTTTTAATAGGTTATTTGGCTAACTAGACGATTTTATTCAGCTCAGAGTGGAACCCGTTAACATTAATGGTTTTCTTTGCTTTAATTGTCAGGAATTTAAGCTTCTTTCACTGAGCCCAACTCTCGCTTACAATTGAATTCTCAAAAAGTGATTTGTAAGTATTGCTCGTCACCTGCGCTTTATAAATTTATATGAGGAAATCATGCTTATAATTAACACTAAACTTATTAAGTAATACACTCACGAGTTAGGTATGAGTAATATTTCTATGAATGATGTGTGACAGCGTCTGAGAGCATGTTACTGGCTGGGAATACCACAATGTAAAGAACATGACTAAATGAACTATGACTCATAATATCCGTAACAGATTCTCCAGGAATATGGTACATTATGTGTTAGACAAAACTAATGTAATGTTACAAGAGGGGCGCCTGACGCTCCACTTTTGTTAGCGAGGTGAGGAGACACCTAGTGACGCCTCCTGAACCCCGTCAGTTGCCTCGAGCAGACTTGAGTGAGTGGGTGCGCAAAGTGTACTATCGTGGAATTCTCATATATTTTCAGTTTAATCATTGTGATATCCGTGTGATTTGTTTTCTTAGTGAATTATTACATCAGTGGATAAGCGTAGATATGAGTAAAAGGTGCGCTAGGTGTGAGAAGGCGGTGTACCCTCTGGAAGAATTGAAATGCCTCGACAAGGTAAGTTGTAGTAGGCGTCGCCCCACTCAGGCCGTTTACAATGTCTCTCTCTGTCTCCGTCGGGGGAGGTTAGGGCCAGGCTGTCTTGTAAACTTCTCCAAACTTTAATTATCTTACCAAACTGATAAACTAACCGTTGAGGATAAATTGATAAGTAGAAGATATAATAATAAGATAACTCCAACATCACACGACAGCCCCCAGCATCCACTGCCGAGATTTCAATGCCCTTGTTAATTTATTTTATCTCGGTGTTTCCTGCAGCTTTTTTATTTCTTAGTTTCTAGTAACGTTGGCCAGGGTGTTTGTGTATTGTTTTGGGGGTTAATTACTGATGGAACAAGGTGTAATACTTGCTAACACTATATATAGATGTTGTTAGAATGACTTGTGCTGATTTTTTTTAAAGTAATACTGTAATGTTATTGGGGGAATTTGTGGCTTGATTAACTTATAATAGTTCATTAACTGTGTTTATCCCCATCGTTAGTGTACTTTAAAGAGGTATTTATGATAGTTTATTAAAACAATGGGTGAAAAAGACACCTACACTACACGAGTTTGGCAACACACTGGTGCATTGGTACTGTCATGTAGCTGAATAACTGGAGCCCCGTTGGGTGGTATTCGGGCATGCCAGTGTGTTGATAAGAGTATACAGTACAGTGATAGTGCAGACCCTGATGACACTGCCTCTTGTCTTATCTTTACTCACAATATTTGCTGATATATGGTACTGTGTTGCTTAAGGACTTTCCCCTAACACGCATTTGCTTCCATATACTGTATTATAGACATTCAGATACTGGTGTTTGTATACCTGCTTACATATATACTTGCACGTATACATTATCTGCATAAAACTCATATTTTAAAGTTTAGAATTTAGGTGTTTCCCAGAGTAGTTAACATAACGTGATCTCGTTCACCAGACGGCCCGAGAACTGTGGTCGGAAATGATGGGCGTTAGTCACCATCCTGTATACTGGTAATATCTTTAATGATGGTCTGCAACATTTACTCTACACAATTTGTCTTATGTGAAATATTTAAGGAAAGATTATTATTTCGTGGAATTGGAAATCTGATAAAATAAACGACTGATTGGATTGTCAAAAGTTTATACGTGGAATGTTTCTCGTAGTTAGGGATACAAGGCTACAGTACCCTTTGGAACACTATACAGTAAGCAGTTAAATATTGTCCTTGGAAATACATTGAGATTAAATTAGAATCAGTTTGCGGACATAATGTGAGTAGGTCTTATATATTCTTGCTGTGCTGGTTATTGGTGCGGCTGTAATGCGGTCTTTGCATTCTGAGGGAAAGGGAAGTGGCGTGCCCTTAAATTTTATCCATCACCACAGCAGACCACTTGACCCAACCAACGAAATCAAAGCTTGTTGAACCAGACACCAGTTCAGGTATTTTATGTTGTAAGTTTAACATAGTTGATTTTTACAGTGTTATTACAGCCATGTGTATTATAATTTTTGTCTTGGAGCATATGTACCGGTTTCTAAGTCAGTGTTAAAACTCTTTAGTGTTGACCAGTGGGACAGCATCAACACCTATGGTTGTGTATAGACAATTGGGGAGGAATCAGCCTGTGTTGTGAAATGCGGAACGGTATTGGTCTTAGTATGGTGTCGGGGAGTGGAGAAAGTCTGCAAGATACATCCCTGGAGTGAATTTTTACACTTGAAGGATTAACTGACCTCTCGGCAGGGTGAAGTGATCGATCCTTTTATAGTTACCCGGTACAGCTCTTAGATTCCAACGCTTAATAAGTCAAAGGGTGTAAGCTTAGGATGGAGTAATTCCCGTTCATCAAACCGTAATGCATCACCAGCTGTTGAGTTGTTAGGTGTTTGAAGCAGCGGAGTTTGGCCACACGGGAGAGAACATCTGAACACAGTAACACAAGAAGAATGAAAAAAAAAAATGCAGTGCGTATATTGCCCCCATACTAGGCAGCTCTGTTTATGCCCAAATATCTGTCAGGCCGTATATGAAGCTTCCCAACAATTTCCAGTTAATGATGGTGTTTGGTAACTTGTTCTACTCATCCGCAACTCTATTTTTAAACCAATATTTACCTAATTCCCGTCTAAATCTAAATTTGTCTAATATAAATTCCTTGCTACTGTTCACTCCTCATTTGATAGTTTGTCTTTGTAATATGATCTGGTTTTTTTTTAACACCATCAATCCTCTACCGTATACAGTTGGCTCGTGTTGCTTCTCACTACCTCTTAATCTTGTGAGCTCTGGAGCC